TGCTGCTTGGCCTGCTGTGTTCATCCAGCCCTGCACCTTGTTGTCTCGGATTCTCCAGCATCTGCAGTTCCTACTATCTCTCACTGATCTACAATTTCCTGTTTTCTCTCTATTTTCCTTTTTAAATAGTGGGGTTACGTTAGCTACCCTCCAAGCTGTAGAAACTGCTCCAGAGTCTGTAGAATCTTGGAAAGTGACCGCCAATGCATCCGTTATTTCTAGGGCCACTTCCTTAAGTACTCTGGGATGTAGGTTAACAAGACCCAGGGATTTGTAAGTCTACCCCCCCATCAGCTCCCCCAACACCATTTCTCCACCAGTAAAGATTTCCTTCAGCTCGTCCCCTGCGTTCCCCAATGTTTCTGGTACATTATGCATGTCTGTCTTTGCAAAGACAGGTGTGAAGTATGAGTGTAGTTCATCGGCCATTTCTTTGCTCCCCATTATAAGTTCCCCCATTTCTGACTGTAAGGGACCCACACCCGTTTTGGCCAATCTATTTCTCTTTATGTACATATAGAAACTTTTATAGTCGGTTCTTATGTTCCCCATGAGCTAAATGTCATGCTGTGCTTCCCCTTTTCTCAATCAATCCCTCGGTCCTCCGTTGTTAACTTCTAAACTGTTCCCGGTCCTCAGGTCTTTTTCTTGACAATTTGTATGCCTTTTTTTTTGCGTCTAACCTCCCTGTTAAGCCATGGTTTTTTCCCTTTGCACTTTGTGTCACACCATGAGCAGGAATGAACAACTTGCTAGGCTGCGGTACTCGTGTGAGAGAAGTCTTAATTAATACGAGCTCCACGAGCGAAGGCCTTTTCATTTTTTTTGTTGTCAATAGCGTGCCGCAATTTTCAAACGGTCACTTCCGGATGGAGCTGAGGTTGTATGGTTGTCTCTGGCAGGTCTATCCAGAAGTGGAGGACAGCAATCGAGCGTGCCTCCCTCCAGGCTCCTTCATCACCTGCTCGTCTGACAATACCGTCCGTCTCTGGAACACGGAGGGATCCAGCACCCACGGGACCTCGCTGCATCGTAACATGGTCAGCAATGTAAGTGAGCAACTGGATCCCCGTCAGATTGACGGATTCGGGTGACCGAGACCAGGCACACGCGCGTACACACACACACACACCACGCCTCACCGCGCACCCCCGCCCCGCAATCCTTCATCTCTTGCCTGCTGCTAGCCCACACGTTTATGGAAATAGGTGCAGCGATTTGCGATGTTTGCGTGTTCAGTCTCTCTGTCTATTGCCACGTGCATTTTGCTACAGGATATAGCGAAGAGTGTCATAAAGTGCTGCCACTCTCCAGTGCCATCTTAAAGCACAGAAAAATAGGCCAACACATCGAACTTTAAGGGAGAAGCGTTAAAAATAAAGAAAGGAGAAGTTTTTCCACAATATTGGGGTCTGATCTCCCGCCATCTGGATTCTTTACCCAGTCCGATGGCTGCGAGGCTACTGTGCCTCCAAGCTCAATCTCCTTCAAGTGCTGAATGCACGGACTGGACTGAAATGGGCCGGATATTTAGCGGCCAATTTAAGTTCCTCAAAGCTCTTTGGCCTCACTTTGCATCACTCGCAGTCCCCACGCCACCCTCTCTCCCTTTAATTCCACTTCAGATCCCTGACCTCCTTCGGAGGGTTCACAATGGGAGGGTATAGCCTTAAGGTGTGAGAGAGAGAGAGACGTTGGTCTTCAGGCTGATGCCGGGGGGCACAAAAGGTGGCGGAAACTCTGGAGCTCTCTTCCCCCGACAAACGTGGAGGCATGAGGTCGGTTGGAGAACTGAGATCTTTGTTAGATAAAGTGGAACCAAGGTGGCTGGATGGGGTCGTAAATAGTGGACCATGTACAGGGATCTGATTTGTTCTCTTTCCGTGATTTAAATGTCCTGCTCCCATCCAGTTATAGACTGGCCGTATTGCGCTCAGCCTGATCGGGATCCACCACTCACTCCAGATGATGACTCCCACCACAGCTCGAGGAAGGATGTAGAGTCGCAGAGTCATACAGCACGGAAACAGACCCTTCGGTCCAACCTGTCCTTGCTGACCATGATCCCAAACTGAACTAGTCCCACCTGCCTGCGCTTGGCCCATATCCCTCCAAACATTTCAGAGAGAATCCCATGTAAAGGCAAGAAAAGTTGCTGTCTCCCTACTGTTCCAAACCTATCCAACACCAGTCTCATAGATCATTGGGACACTATTATAGTGCTAAGTGTAAGTTCTCGCTCTGTCAAGTTTCCTGTACTGCAAAGGTGACTATGTTTCAGAAATTCTTAATTGGCTGCAAAACCACTTTTGGGGTATCCTGAGGTTGTGATGGGTGCTATTATCAGTGCAAGCCTCTCTTTCGCCTTCTCACTTTTGCACCTTCCACGTTTCCATTAGCGAAATGCACTGATGCTTGCTGAGTTACACGTTTGGACACAGCGGTGAGCGAACATGGGGCCTGAGCTCATGTTGACTTTCTTGTTCCAGGATTTGCTGAAGATTCTCTACATGGACTGCAATACGTCGACACTGCTGGATGTGGAGAACAGTTTGGCGGGAGGCTCTGACAAACCGGATGGCCAGGCTGCCGAGATGAAGACTGGAATCAGAACACTGTGTGTGAGCCCTGATGGACAACATATGGCATCCGGAGACCGGGCTGGGACTCTGAGGTGTGTCCCACCGAAGTGAGCCAGACAAGTATTGTGTGTGTCTGTGTGTAAGTGTGTGCGTGTGTGTGTGCGCGCGTGTGTCTGTGTGTGTGTGAATGTGTGTGTGCGTGCGTGTGTGTGATTGCGTGCATATATATGTCTGTGTGTGTCTGTGTGTGTGTGTGCGTATGCGTGTGTGTGTGTATGCATGTGTGCACGTGTGTGTGTGTGTGTGTGTGTGTGTTGTATGTGTGTGTGTGCATGTGCGCGTGCATGTGGGTTTACAATGATTTATTGTGGCTTCCTAGTTGCTGTGACTGAGACGAATATTTCCAATTCCAGAATGCAATAATTAATCTTACATTCCACCAGGTACCACAGTGGATTTTGTACTGTATCTCCGCAGCATTAGCCTGGGGCCTCTGGTCTTTGCATAATTATATGCTTTCTCTTTTCAGTTTGATACTTCCTTTAATTTTTTTTTAGTTATCCGATGATGGTGGGTCCTCCTCTTGGACTTTTTCTGTCTTGTTGGAATATATCTATTCGTAAACGTCTGCTTTTTAACCTATTCCTTCAGCTAATTTTCCGTTTCATTTTAACTAGCTCTATGCCCTCATAGTTGAATAAAGGAGTTACACTGGCTATTTTCCAATCAGTTATTTAAGTTTAAAATGCAAGTCTTAGACCCACTCTGCTCTCCTTCAAATTGAACGTAAAATTGCGCCGTGTCATAGTCCGCATTTATAAAGCAAGGTGCTGATGAGCAGCAATTGGTTGACGCCAAGTTTGAATTTCGAAATGCAGAATTCAAAGAAAAGAGTTTCGTGATTTACAGATCCTGGGAATTAGTGAGGTAGAAATAAAGAATTGCATTTATGTAGTGGTTTTCACAGCCATTGGGCATTCTAAAGGGCTTTACAAGGGGAATCTTTTCAGTAGGTCTCAGACTGTTCATTTTCGCTAAGGGGGATGTCAGGTTAACGCTATAATTATAGCTCAGGAAGAAAGGCAGCGAGGTTTTGTGTCTGCAGCCCTCTGAAAATTCCCATCATCCCTCAAGGGGTCTGAACAATCCCATGACCACAGAGCGCCTTTCGAGTAGGAGAAACAGCCGGCTGTGAGGAGGTGGAAGCAAAGCTGGGCTAGGTGGGAGAAGAACAAGTGACCAGAACGTTGGTCAAAGAACTGGGTTCTGAGGAGGGTCCCAGGCGAAGAGAGAGAAGCGGGGACATTTGGAGGGGGGAGTTCCAAAGAGGATGCAGGGATTTAGTCTGAAGGTACGACATCCAGTGGGCACGCCGTGGTGTCAGAAGAACCGAGTAGGTGACGGCGAGGGGCAGGGGAACAGTCAGGAAAGTGGAGCTCAGGGTTATCAGGTCAGCCTTGATTATCAGCGAATGGTGGAGCAGACTCAATGGGCTGAATGGCCTGCCTCTGCTCCAATGGTCTGACAGGTAAGGGACGAGGAGGGACAAGAGACAAGCTGGGATTTAAGGATAAGGGCAGCAATCTCAACTTTTTTTACCCAAGGATTCGGTGGTAGCATAAACAGCAAAGACATAGGACAGATAATGGATGACTATCTCAGTTATCTGCACCTAATTATTTATCAGTCCTATGCTGGCTGTATGGTGCAGCCTGGAATCGACTGATTTACTTGTGTTGCATTGTGTCTGTCAGGGTCCATGATCTCCAGCTACTGAGAGAGCTCCTTCAAGTGGAAGCCCATGATTCGGAGATCCTGTGTCTCGAATACTCCAAACCAGAGACTGGTAAGAACGTATCTAAAACCATTGCTCACCACAGTAGGATTGTCCAAGTCCTGCCATGTTCCAACCATGTGCACTTATTTTGTTAGAAATCATTGTTTAACAGGGGTGGGACACTTTTATGAGATTGCTTAGGATTTTTTTTGTTGATAAGTCAGGACAAATTCAGTATCATTCTAATTCACATACATTCGCACAGTACAGGGAAACGTACCTGTTGTGTGTGTGTGTGAGTGTATTTCCTTAAGGGATTCAGTAGCTAAGAGAGAAAGCATTTGCAGTGATCAAAGAACACACTCGGATTTTGATCATACCAACAGATATGAAAGGTTCACCAGCATGGACCATGCACACATGAGGAGTCATGTTCCCAATGACTTTGGCTGGCACTCACTTTTTCTGTTCACCCGTCAGGCATGCTGCTCGTCTCATCTGAATGACAAAGTTTTGCTTCTGGCTACTATGTTGGACAGCTCTGTTCTGTATCACCAAAACTGATATCTAAGTTATCTTTAAGTACATCATGACTCATTCATGACGTAGAGGTAGATCCCAACTTAAATGGTCATGTTGACATCGGCTAGAGTCATAGAGATATACAGCACGGAAACAGACCCTTCGGTCCAACTCGTCCATGCCGACCAGATATCCTAGATAAATCTAGTCCCATTTCCCAGCATTTGGCCTGTATCCCTCTCAACCTTTCCTATTCACATACATATCCAGATGCCTTTTAAATGTTGTAATTGTACCAGCCTCCACCAATTCCTCTGGCAGCTCATTCCATACACCCTCAGTGTGAAAAAGTTGCCCCTTAGGTCCCTTTTAAATCTTTCCCCTCTCACGTTAAACCAGTGCCCTCTAGTTTTGGAATCCCCCACCCTGGGGAAAAGACCTTGACTATTTACCCTTTCCATGCCCCTCATGATTTTATAAACCTCTATAAGGTCACCACTCAGCCTCCGATGCTCCAGGGAAAATAGCCCCAGTCTATTCAGCCTCTCCCTACAGCTCAAACCCTCCAAACCTGGCAATATCCTTGTAAATCTGTGGGAACAGATTCACTTGTCTAGATATTCGAGGAGCAGCGAGCACAGGCAGATTGTCACTCCATTCCTAGATTTCTCCGGTTGCCGTGGCTTATCGTTTCCAGCTTGGAATTCCGACCCTCGCTCCTTTGCAAATATATAGCATTTCTGAAATCAAACAGCTCCCCACTCCGTCGTGCAGGACTGTTAAGGGAAGTCAACGCACTGCCCCTTTCTGCAGCAGTCACTTGCTGTGTTCAGAGATCGAAGATTTATTTTGAGATACCTTGTTGCCAGACACTTTGACAGTGCGGCTGTCGAAGTCCTTAAGGTAAGGGGTTAGAGTGCAGGTTGGTGAAGGGTTTAGGTGGGCAGGGTGCAAGAGCACCCAGTAAACGATGGACTGCTTTGGTCGGTTCAGGGTTCACGGTGGTATGGGGCATCGGCAGGATGGTAGGCCCTGTTCTAGCGGCAGGAGCGGGAGGTTTTTGGGTTCAATTTTTGGGCAAGGGTTGGGGGTAAAATGGGTGGGCAGGTGGGCCTTAATGGGCAAGATGTGGAATTGTGGGTCTGCAAGAGGGCAGTGTTGGGGCCAGGCCGAGGTGGCGGACTGTCAAGATGGTGTTGGTTGGGGGAGCATGTTGTCAGGTCGTAGGGGTGCGCAGGTGGAGGGGGGGTGGCATTGGCAGGGTGCAGACAGGTGGAAAATAGCAGTCAAGGGTTTGTGTGGGGTGTAAGGGGAGGCGTAGTTGGCCGGGGGGGGAGTCAGGGTCGGTGGGTGGCGTGGTTTAATGGTGAGTTAACGGCTAGAGCGGCTTTGTAACCCTCTCCTGGGTCACTACGAGCTGACCTGAAGTGGAACCAGACCATACTGCAAATGATAATGGCTGGGTTTCAGTAGAGACAAGCCTATTTTCCCACTCTGTTGGCTACTGGCAAAGTTCCATGAGAAGATAACAGCCCCGCAATTTGCCCCTCGGAGAACACGTTGCATCGTATAAGTTGCAGTGAATAGGGATTTGAGGCAATGATCCAGTCCCAGGGAAGCAAAGATTAAATATAACCTTCGAGTTGTTCTGTATCGTGCCATCGCTTAGACAGCGGCCTTGTATTCCATGACTAGGGTTCCCCACAACCTCTGTGTATTTTACATTTGATTCTGATCTCAAACAGTTGCCCCATACATTTGAGCTCATTCGCAGTCCGCTGCTCCTTTTCATCAGGTATATCCTGTCCGGCTTACCCATAGATTGACAACATTACATTAGCCCCTGATCAGGGTCAACATTATACTTTGTCTTCTTGTGTTCAAATCCTTCTGTGGCTTGGGCCCTCCCTCGGTCTGTAACCTCCTTCAGCTCTACAACGCTTTGAGCTTTTTGTACTCCTCCAGTTCAGGCCTATGACGGATTCCTAATTTTCATCACAGCACCATTATTGGTCATGCCTTCAGAAGCCTAAGCACTTGGCCCTTGACTCCCCAAACTTCTCCACCTTTGGCTCCCTCTCCTTTAAAGCAGAACTTAAAACCGAATTCTTCGGCTAAGGTTTTGAGTGCCTGTCCAATATTTCTAAGTGACTTTGTCCAGTAATGCTCCTTATTATCACAGCTTACTGGAGCGGCATGTTGGAAATCAAAGTCCCCTATTCCCAGAGTCAATGCAAAAGTTGACAGATTTTTTAAAAGGAAGTGCGCAAAATTCCCCAAATTATCAATCTTTTAGACCTAGGTTGACAGAAAGGGCAGAACGGGTTTCTCTACTTAACAAGAATAACTATTTACTGCAAGTAAGTAACCTGTAACTGCAGGTAAACAGATATGAACTCTCGGCACATACCTCTGCTGGTTAAACTCTAAGCCCTTATTCGCTCCCTCTTACACACACGCATGCAGACAGACAGGAAAGAAAAATGGGTGTTATGGACTGAGGGAAAACTGGGAAACCAGTTTGTGGTCACTGTTGAGAGAATCTGCTGAGACGGTTCTGTACTGATCAGAACACTGCTTCTCAGTCTTCCTTCTCCAGATGCTTTCACTAATTTTCAGTGGGTACAGGATGACTGCTTCACCTATAAAAGGCTTTGACTTACCACTTAAAGTCATAGCTTGCAGTGACTTCTGGAGGAAAAATAATCTTTTCTTTTCAGGCTTAATGTGGCTTTGACTGCAGAGAACAGAGGGAACTCCCAGGCTGGTGGAGATCTGATGGCTTTTCTCTATAGCCCAAGCTACCTGAATCACATAGGGCCAGGACCATTCTGTACGGGAAGACGGTAGCTAACACTGAGCACAAGGTGCATATGTTTACAAAGTTGTTAATTTAAACCAGGCAGGTTGACTCTGAGCGGTCAAGGCATAGGCCTGAGCAATATATCGGAGAATGGCTGTTCCCTGTTTTGTAAGGTTGAAACAGGCACTGTGTGTGTACTTGTTCTTTCTTTCTACAAAGCACAGAGACTTGCATATTAGTGTATGTACTGCTGAGGTGCAGCATGCTACAATCCTAAATAGCAATCTTAAACTGGTTGCCTAGTTTAAATTTAAACAAAATTTGGCAGTCGACTATCCGTCATCATCTATCCGGGTGCATTCTCATGGCATCACCTCTACCAAACAGAGTCCACTCACCAACCAATCTCCACTCTCTTTTCATATTGTGTAATATGTGTTCTCCTTTATATTGGTATTCTTGCGAAATGGTCCTGATGTGTGCTTTGACAAAAATGTATCATTTTTCAGCAATGCTCAAGATCTGTAGTACCAAATAATAATTTACATGCACACTGTTGTTGAGTAGGACTTTTTCCCTTTGCTTGTAGCTGATTATTATTTTAATGCCTTCCTCGTCCATCACTAGGTATGAAGTTGCTGGCATCTGCCAGCCGAGATCGCCTGATCCATGTGTTAGATGCAGAGAATGATTACAGTTTGCTGCAAACCCTGGATGAGCATTCTTCCTCCATCACTGCTGTCAAGTTTTCAGGTACTTGTGTGTGTGTGTGTGTGTGTGTGTGTGTGTATGTTGCTGTGTGTGTGTGCCTGTGTGTGTGAGTGTGTGTATGTGTGTGTGTGAGAGTGTGTGTTGCTGTGTGTGTGTGTGTGTGTGTGTGTGTGTGTGTCGGTGTGTCTGTGTGCCTGTGTCTGTGTGTGTGTGTGTCTGTCTGTGTCTGTGTGTGAGAGTGT